GAAAAAAGATTGATGACGATTCTGAAGATTTCCTGCAAAAAGATGGGTGCGCGATGCAAGTAGCTGCGCGAAATGAAAGAAGATTTTTCGAAGATTAATTCACTAGTGTGAGATTTTTTGAGCATCTAGAATTGAGATTTAGATGTGTAAACATGTATGTATGTATGTATGTATGTAAGGTAGCCACCATCCCTTCGAAGATCTTGTCTTGTATGCAGCTCCACTTAATAGCAAGATCAATTTGAGCTACCGATCTGAATTCACAATATCGCTGTATGAAGGGCCAAAAACGGTGGGGTGGACCCGTAAGCAGAGACAGTTACGCGAAATCCACGGGAATTTAAGAATCTCCTTCCAACGATACGATCCAACAAATCGAATAACGCAATTCGCAATACTTATTAAGCTTCCTACAGGATGGTTTGTTAAGAAGGGCGCGTCAATCTCACTGAAACTGTTGGAGTAGAATTCACACCATCACAATCGAATCGGTAGGATAAAGAAAATGATAGTGTTTATTCCCTCCTAGACTCCGGTTGTCATACCACTCCAATCGTCCAGTTTCAGGTCAAATGATACCCTGATGCTCCCTCCCAACCCAGTATTTATTTATATATATAGTAAACATATGTAATGGAGAAATGAAATATATCAGAACATTAAAATACGTAATAATGAAAATACATTTATATGGATAAAAAAAACTGGTATTCCGCAATGAAAATAATAATTATTTTACATACAATATGATGCAGCTCTATGTCTCCTCAGCTCCCAATAAGGAAGATGTAACCCTGAAATTTCCAACAAAAGACACAGAAAAGGAGATTTTGTTAGTAAGTTGGGTTCGTTGGATCAGGATTCACCTTGATAAGTGATGCGACCATGGTTTTAAATGAATCAGTGTTATCATGCATTATACTTGGATTTGCCCGAAGCCAAAACCAAATGGTGTATCATTGGGCCTTATTACGGGTGTCACTACACGGTGATAAGAAAGTGATACTCAGAATAAGAGCCGTGATTACCGTACAAATCAAATGGGAATCACTTCACCGTGACGACAATTGACAACTTTTCACCGTGATGTGACATCCGTAATAACCCCCATTATAATATAAATCTGAAGACGTTCCATCATCGAAATGCTGAAAATGAACTTAGAGCATGAGCATGAGCAAAATTGATCGCCCGCGACTGCCAACACCAAAGAGCTGAAAACCAATTCAAACAAATCAAATCAACAGACAAAACCAGGGTGAAAGCTGTAAGAGTGAATCATTACAGTATAAATCTAGTGATGTTCCGTCATCAAAGAGCTGGAAGAAAACTCAAATAATTTAAATCAATAGATCCAGTCTGAATGAAGGCTGCAAAAAGAGAATAATTATACAGCAATGACCCCATTTTGTCAGCTAGCAAAGTATGTGTATCTTAAACATTCATCTTGAAGGAGGAAGGTATGAAATTACAATTATGTGGAATTATTGAAAAATAACAGTCTGATGCGCGGAGAGATTGACAGGATCGGGTCATAACTGTAATGTGAATATTAGGCAGATTTATCATCATCAAACTATTCTTGAATTGACCTGGAAGAATGCTTGTGAATAATTGTTATACAGATAAATTAAATTGATAAACTAAATGGTTCAAACAACAACTCCAGCCTGTAAAAAAGCTGAAAATAGGGAATCTTTACAATGTGGATCCCCGACGGTCTTCTACTCAGTAAGCAAAAGCGGCAGCCACCAGGCTAGTCGATCTGCTCAATTTAAATATTGAAATTGAGATTTAGATGTGTAAACATCAGGAGAAATGTCATAGAAACCAAGCGTTATACACAGTAAACAAAAAGGTAATATCGATCAATGTAATTCAAGCTGATGTATGAAATAATGATGTGATAGCAAAAAGCAGATACAATATTACATCAATGGATGTAATTTTGTTCGCAAAATCGATGTACATTGTACAACGTTATATTACACAACCGATGGATTGACCTGGTTGCAGCAGTTTGGATGTAATATTCAACAACTTGTTTTTTCTGTGTATATGTTCCAAGGTGGGACTGGTGAGAGCGAAATCGAAAAATCGCTCGTGTCTAAATGAATAAAAATTTAAAAAAAATGTTAAAAACTTAGATATCTAGAAAAGCATATCTTCAATATTTAATACATTTTTTTTTAATAATACTCATGAAAAACGAAACCTTTTGGAGTATTTAAAACCATGGACACTTAAACGAGATACTGCCACATGGCCTACCGCTGCATCAATTGTGGAGGACACAGATCCCAACTGTGCCAATTATGGAGCAGCATTAATATCCGCAAAAAAGCCTCTACGCAGAATCGTCCTGGCCGCAGACCGGTGCTACCGCCACTTCCACTCAACAACCGTTTTGCTGCTGCTGCTAGAAACCGCTGCACCTCTTCACCTCCGGGGCTATCGTGGCAGCATGCAGGTGCTCTCCCTTCACCAACGATTGAGAACGCAGACACTCTGCATACAACGGCGGAACTTGTTAAACTCGTGACAGAAGTCATCATGATGCAGCGCACCTGCAGGACCCGAACATAACAGCTTCATGCTGCCGTATCCCTCATCAATAAGTAGGGACCGTGAAGCCATCAACATTTCCAACGCTTACTCGCTCAAGAGCATGAGTATCGACTTTGTTGAATTCTTCAACAAACGAAACATCGATATCGCCATCATCACCGAATCACACCTGAAGCCCGAGCTTAACGTCTTCCTTCTCGATTTCCGACTTGTGAGGCTGGACCGAACCAGCTCCGGGGGAGGAGGAGTGGCCATCGCTCTAAGGAGGAACATCTACTGTCGGCTACTGCCGAGCTTCCTGCTGAAGATCATCGAAGCCGTAGATCACCATCATTGCGGCTTACTGCCCCAAACAAGTCAACATCAGGGACGGGTCGGCAGCACACCTGCGACGAGATATTGTGAAGCTAACTTGACAGCGGGAAAACTTCGTAATCGCTAGCGACCTGAACGCCAAACATCAAGCTTGGGGCAACAGTCAGTGCAACCAAAATGGCACCATCCTGTACAATGATCTGCAGGAAGCACAGTACAACATATTGAGTTCGGACACTCCCACACGGCCGAGTAGCTCACGATTTTTCAAACATGATTCGCTCCCAAATTGTGCTAAGCCGTTCTGGAAAATGGCAAAGATTTAACCCACCCCTCCCTTTTCCCCTCTTATTCAGAATTCGGATCAATCATTACTCTTAACCAGGCATGGAAAATCATTTGAATTCATTTCGTGCATTCATTTACATTCATTTGCCCTTAACTTTTTTTATCAACAGAATTCCGCAAAATAATGAATGGAGCTTTTGTAGGTTTTAAGGTTTTGAGGTTATACGCTACAAATTTTGTTAACAACTTAAATCCATATCTCTTATGCATGACGAACCAGAGACAGGCTTGCTGAAACTCCTCAAACTCACTGGAGGTTTAAAAAACTCCGAGTTTAGCCAGCCCTCACCTCGAGTGAGTGGCGGCACGAATATGGAAGAAGTAAACAAAAACTCCTCGAGAGATAAGGAGAGTGAACTTCAGCGAGAGGATGATTTGACGTGAAGTGCGCTTTTCGAGACTCCGGATGACTTTTTTGTTCGACACAAGAAGCTCAGAGTTCACACAGAGTGAGAGTAAGAGCATGTGATAGAAAACGTGAACATGAATGGCAGCAAACCTCACTCTCAATTTATCCCCCTTCGCTCACAAGCTCTGAACCTCAGTGGAATGATTTGGCAGAAGGCATTCTACTCCTCAGAAAAATGCTACGCTCGGCTCATTTCAAACTCGCAACTACTGTTTTTCAATGAAAGTATTTTACATTCACTGAAAAACAGTAACAAGTTCTGTCTGCTCTAATTCGTGATGCATAAGAAATACAGATTTGAGTTATGGACAAAAATTGTAGCTAATAACAAAACCTACTAAAGCTTTATGCATTATTTTACGGAATGCTGTTGATGAAAATAGTTAGAGGCAAATAAATGTAAATGAATGCAGGCAATGAATGTTAATGATTTTCCATGCCTGCTCTCAACCCCAGTTGGAACGTCCAATGCTCTTGGTTAACACTTTGTGAACTCACATAACCTTGGCCAAGCCATGGTAAGTTCCCACGAGCCTGCAGTATCGGAGTCACTGACGAAAGTGGAATATCGGCTGATGAGGTGATAGTAGCCATTAAATCAACCAAGAACATGAAGGCCACTGGTGTCGATGGAGTGGTCAACCTCGAGTTGAAAAACTTGAGTGTTGACTTCTTCGAGCACCTTGCAGAGGCGTGTGTTCCAAAGTCATTCAAATCCACAAACCTGCCAAAGACCCTACCAGTGCCAAAAGCAATAGCCCCATCACCCTCTCGTCCTGCATCTCAAAACTATTTGAAAAGTTTATACTCAGCCGTCTGCTGGTACTTTCAAATGATAATAACATCTTTCTCAAAGAGCAATTCGGGTTTAGGAGAGGCCGCTCTACCATCCACCAACTCACACGGGGTACTAACACCAGGAACAAATCCGTTTTCAAGACATCTGCCATGGCATTGTTGGACGTTGAGAAGGTGTTCGACCCAGGTCTTCCTTGTTAAGATCACCAAAAACTACTTGTTAGGCAGATCATTCCAGGTCTTCTTGAACAATTCACCTTCTGATACGTTCAACGTTGATGCTGGAGTTCCCCTTCCGGGTGGTGGTATTTTGTCAATATTTGCGGATGACACTGCCATCATCTATAAGGGTCGAATGATCCGTGCTCTGACGAGAAAACTCCTATCAGGCCTGGATGTTCTGTCCAACTATTTCAAAAGCTGGAAGATTTGTATCAATGCTGCTAAAGCACAGACCATACTATTTCCGCACTCTCCCCGTAACGTGGGTATTGTGTTATATTTACGGGTACTTTTCTTCACAGAAGGTTTTTTTTATGTAACTAATCCTTTAATTACAGCAGAACAAAACAGTTCCTTACACACACAAGAACTGGCTTACTTGTGGGCGGCCTTACGCATATGGGCCAGGATGTTGGAAAGTTCCTCACGCTTCCTCTTGGCACGGATGTGCGTACCAAGGCGACGCTTCATGCCTCGCTTCTCGTACGGTGCATGGCCGACAATCTCACGGACCAGACCGCGCACGAACTTGGTGTGTTTGGTTTGGATACCCTTGGTGCGAGACGGGCGGATTCCCTTGACTTTACGATCGCCACGGTACTGCAGCTGCTTCAGCTTGGTGGTCTTGTGGCCTTTGTTCAGACCGACACAGATTTCATATCGGGGAGCCATGTTTCCTCCTCGGTGTAAATGACAGCCGGAAAAGGATAGATCACCTTTTCGTGGTACGTTACGGGATATAAGATCTACCACCGATTCCTAGTCTTGACTACTTCAAACTATGGAAACAGAATTTTTCAGTAATCAAAGGAACACATCTTAGTCCTTGCTACTTTTTTATTCCTTGTTGATAGTGACAAGACTCGGTTTTGTCCACCGAGGATGATCTTGAAATAAGAGCAAAATGAGTTAGTTGGTCTTCATCTATGTGATTCCTAATCTTCTATTCATTGTTCCCTAGTTTGAAGTGATTAAGACTAGGGTTCTGATGCATCGTCATTATCGGTGTCATTCCTTAATTTTGTTGCTAAGGAATCCAATTTTGACTGACAAAGGGGCGCGCCTTTGGAGGGTGTTTCAACACTCCGAAGGGTATAAGTAGCGGGACCTTTCAATTAGAGTCGGATCCTTGCAATAAATGCAAGAATGACAACTGTAAAACAGATCGAATACTTCATCATTTTTGAATAGTGATGTAGTAATACGATATGCATTATACTAAGGGCACGGGATATACAACAATAGATCAAATTACTGGTCGCAGTGGTGTTAGGTCTCGAATAGAGGAAAAAAAAAATCAGCACTCCAATTCACCTCGGATTGCCCCGCCTGGTAACTTAAAGGTCCACCTGGATAATATTCCCATTGAATGGTCGAGTGAAGTCGTCTACTTTGGTCTCACCCTTGATAGCAAGATACTACGCCGTTCCAATGTGGACAAAACATCCACCAAGTGCAACATCTTGATCTTGATCTTAAAAACACGCTTGCCGTCCACAAGCAAATCATCCTCCCCGCCATTGAGTATGGAACGCCCATCTGCGAGAGCTGCGCCGAGCACCATCCATAGGATCCAGAACAAATCCCTTAGGATGATCTTCGAACAGTCCCCGTGGACTCGAAATTCTGAGATTCACCACCTGATCTTCTGAGAGGCTGATCTAGAGTACGTTTATCCTCGAAAGGCTCAGAGACGCCTGTCTGAGATCAAATCATCAGATCATATGCCATCTATCTAATTAGGTTAAGTTATTCGTAGCTAGGTAGATTATTAATTTCGTCTTTCGGCAACATATTGGGGGTGCAATTTCAAAAAACCAAAATCGACTGCATTACGAAAAGAGGTCAGGTTTTGACCAAATGTAACTCTGTCAATCTGTTGGAAATTTATCTACCAATCTGCTAAAATGAACCCTTTATTAATTTTCAATAGGTCACCATTGATAATTACACAAATGTCCAACTGTTGCAATGGTGATCAAAATTATCACCGATTGCCTGCAAAAAGCACTTATCCTAACACAGATTTAAAAATCGAATTCCATGCGGTCTCACTGAACGGTGCTCATTCAATCACCATGTACACACTTAGATTTTTTTGCCGAGATGGGCACCACCGAGCAGCTCGGCATTTTATTTTGCTGGAAATTCAGCAAAAAATATGTTTGTTAGCTGAGATCTCGGCAAAATTCCCGTTTGTTAGATGAATCTCGGCAAGTTTTTCACTGAGATCCAGTAAAATAAAATGCCGAGCTGCTCGGTGGTGCCCATCTCGGCGAAAAAATCTAAGTGTGTATGTTACCAAAATTTATGAATGGTCTGCCACTAAATGTTGAGATAATTAATTGATTATTGACACTGTATACCATGAAAAAGCAGCCTGTTTGTGAGTTTTTGCCTGTTTTCAAGTAAGGGGTTATCATAAAAAGAAAACAAATCAACGTCAGGGCTAGACCTCCACACCTTGTATAGACCAGGTTGATCTAGACTGCCAACCGCTGTGAACCGTCGTGAGCCGCTGTGGGCCACCCTAATAAAAAAACCATAAACGAATTATAACACAAATCATACAACTATTCTACAAATGGTTTGGATGATACCCGGACCACGTCGTTAAGCAAAATAACCATAACAATTTTATTAGGGCATCTATGCCAAGCGCGTCACCCTCGTTCCAAATAACATATAGCTCGCCAGCATAAAGGTCTTTGATTAGAAAAATTAGAATTTGGCGTCAGATTATCAGCTTTAATAGCACGCTGTGGCTGTCAGTTGCATCGAATTATTTTCCCTGAAATGGCAATAATGTACCCAACGACCAAACGTTTGTGGTCAAACGCGTCAAGTATTGAAGTGGTACATAAACATTCTCGCAATGACCGAATACCACATGACCACACCACCAATGTAGAGTGCGCTAGCCAATTTTGAGAGGAAATGTCATTTTTCCATGTGCTCACTTCATAATGACGATTTTCCAAACTTAAAATAATGTACATTTTATTGCACAACTTGCAAAATTCTAACGGGAGTGGTCTTATTTTTCGATTATCTGCAGATCTGAACTAATTTACAGCTGAAATAACCACACAAATCCGGAAGATCATAACCGTTGGTACAATTATATATATAAATCTTAATTTTTTTCATCAAACATATATGGATATGGAAGCACCAGCTGGATCACTGCAAAACCGATACAGAAAACAAACTATTCCACGCGGATGATGATTTCAATAAATTAATCAAGAAAAGTGAAAATATTGTCCTCTTCCTATGCTTCACGGTGAACATTTCCACCCTCATAACTCTTTTCAGGGTTCCTCTATACACCGCCAGAGGCTGAAACAATCGCTTATTTCTATTGGATTTGCCTATTAACGAAAACTACATATCAACTCATCGACATAACAACTAACTGGCAACTCTTCCATGTTCTCATACGACCGCTATGAAACCGGCACAGTCACGTCATCTGCCGTGCAAAGGTAAATGCTTCGAACGAATTTGATAGCAAATATTACAACCTCAGAAGAAAGGACGCAACATAGGGTGGGGCTTATTTTTCAAAATCGTTCGGGGACATGTTTTCCCATGTGGCAAATGATTATTGGGACTACACAGATAAAAAATATGAATTTTAATAGTGATATAAACATTCATTCACGTAAACTTGTATTTCATTTCACGCAACCGAGCAACTTGTAAACAATGTTGTTTACAACAATGGGCTTTTGTATACAATATTTTCTAAATTGCATGAAATGTCTCAGAACTTTACATGATATATAATGTAATCTTATATGATATGTGACGCTCCATTTATGTGCATCATACTGAACAGAAATTTATACTACTTTTTCGAACTGTGTTGTTCATGAGCAGTTATTTTTATTTATTTTTTTACATTAAATTTATTTTTATTCAGTTGTTTTGTTTTACCATAGTTTTACAATGTAAGTGATCAACATTAGTTATTCATTCTTTCCTAAAATTATTGAAAGCCATTGGCTAATTTTTGCTTATTGGTATTTATCATTTTACATTGTGAACATTTGTTCTATTTTAAATTTTAAATTTCCTACCTAACTACATTAAATCCTAACTAAACCAACTATTTACAAAATTATGGGTAAAGATTTCTAATTTTTTCGTACTCTGAATTTAGAGTCCTAGTTTGGTGCCTACTGGCGAGCGCAGTCATTCTCTGGTCGATTTGATCGAGATTTGCCAGCCGATGAACGTCGGCTATCCGTGTGCGCGGAGGCAGATTCAGAATCATCTTCAGGAACTTGTTCTGCAGGACTTGGAGCTTCTTCCGATGTGTTTTAGCACAACCCTTCCATACCGGAGACCCATACTTCAGCATAGGCGCAACAATCTGCCTGTAGACAGCCAGCTTGTTGACGGTGGATGCTTTCGAGCGACGGTTGATGATCGGATACAGACGTTTCAGCATGATGGTGCCTTTTTTGACTCGGTCTTCTACGAGCGACCGGAAGAGGAGCTTACTGTCGAGAATCAGGCCAAGGTAGCGTACCTCGGGTGACCACTCAGTTTCAGCGTTCAGAACCTTTATCTTTGATGACGGTTTGAGCCGGTCGGTGTTGCTATGCGGAAACACAATGGTTTGCGTTTTGGCCGCGTTCACACATATCTTCAAGTCAGTGAGATATATGGTGTAGGCATCAAATCCGTTTTGGAGCTTCGATACGAGAGTGCGCATTACTCGTCCCTTGTAGCTGATTGCCGAATCGTCAGCAAACAGCGACAGTGTTCCACCTTGCGGCAGTGTCGGTATGTCCGATGTGTACAGATTGTACAATATGGGTCCCAGGATGCTTCCTTGAGGGACACCAGCGGGTACATCATACGGTTCCGTGAGAGCACTGCCTACGCATACTTGAGACGTCCTGCCGTCGAGGTAGTCTGAGATGATCTTCACCAGGTAGATGGGGAAACAAAATTGCAGAAGCTTGTGCACCAAGCCATCGTACACGTTATCGAATGCCTTTTCGATGTCCAGTATCGCCATGACCGTTGTCTTCAAGACCGACTTCGCCTGATTGATGAGGTTTGAGACCCGCTTGAGTTGGTCCACTGTCGAGTTACCTCGTCAGAATCCAAATTGCTCGTCCAGTAGGATGTCGTTCGCCTCGGTGTGCTCGAGGAGTCTGGCGTAAATGAGTTTTTCGAACAACTTGCTAAGCGAGGAAAGCAAACTGATCGGACGGTAGCTTGACGGGTTGGTAGGATCCTTTCCCGGCTTCGTTATCGGTACCACCTTGGACCGTTCCCAGGTAACTGGGAAGTGTCCAAGATCCAGACAGCGATTGAAGACGTCCACCAGAAGAGTATGCGCTTTCGGTCCCAAATTCTTCAGGACAATGTTGAAGAGTCCGGCGAAACCCGGTGCCTTCATGTTCTTCCTCGACTTGATGGTGTTCACCAGCTCATCAAGTGTGATTTTCCGGTCCGCCGGAAGCTCGCTAGGCTCAGTAGCTAGCTGGTAGACGCTCTCAAGCACCAGACCCTCCATCGGGCTGACAATATCTCGACCCAGATTATGCGAAGCCATAAAATGTTGAGAAATGGAGTTCGCCTTTTCGACGGCTGTTATGTGAACCTCATTATCAACTCTAAGAGGCGGCATGGGATTTGGTTTGTTTTTAAGCACTTTTATTAAACGCCAGAAAGGCCTAGAGTAATTTGG